GTATTTCGCCTTTTTTATTTTTTTCCACTGAGCCTTACTGCGGTTTGATTGCATTTAAAGTTAATTACTATCCTCTTAAAATAGGTGAGGAATAGGTGTTACAAGGCTGGGTAAAGTTCGAAACAAATTCACAATGAAAGCAGCAGCCTGCTATCTGCCTGATCCAAAGGTTGAATATTTCAATGTGGTGCTTTAGATAACCTTAGATTGGTCTCCAAAAGTGCACCAGTATTTTGAAATGCTTTTGAAAGCTAAGGGCGGTGGTAATCTGATTTTATTTTCCCTCTGAAAGTGCACTACAGCCTTTCTTTTGAACGGCGTGTATCGAAGAATCTAAAACCGGGATTTTTTTCTTATCAAAATGTACTTTGCAACCTCTAGGTCGATTTTTACCCTAAGTGTGCATTAAAAATTGCTTTATCTGAATTATATTTAGTAGCCCAGGTCTAGGCTGATGTGGGACAGATTTATTTCTGGTGGGGGGAAAAAAACTAAAAGGAAAATGGAAAAAAAATCCGAGACAGAGGGTGGAAATTTCTTGTATATCATTTTGGCTGGGAAACTGTCTATATCTGTTTATAGGTGTGCTTGTGTGATTCAGCTGATGTGTGTGTGGATGCTGCTTCAAAATAGTGTGAGACTATTTTGTAATTGGAATATTTTGGTGGCAAGTGTCGTGGGCGCCCGAGGCGGCCATGGCGGGGCTAGACCCGTTAAGATGTGCTCATGGGGCGGATGGTAGGTTAAATATTGTTGAAATGTTAAACGCCGGCCGAAAACTTGAGAGACCCTTACTGGCAGGGGCAGGAGAGCGGGGCAGCCACAGAGCAGGGTGCCGTGCCTGGGGACGGGTGAGCCCAGCCTGGCAGAAGGTCCCCTCCCTGTGCCCACACCTTACTCGAACCGTGTTTAATGCCCACATTCACCATATCTGCCAGACATTGCACAGGAGGGGTCATGGCCAAGGGTACACTCTAACAGCCTGAGGTATTTTTGATTTTTTTTTCTTCTTCTTCTTCTTTGATTTTGATAGAGGAAATCAAGTCTGATACTCCAACAAGCAATTGGCTAACTGCAAAGAGTGGCAGAAAGAAGAGGTGTCCTTATACTAAACACCAAACACTGGAATTAGAGAAAGAGTTCTTATTCAATATGTATCTCACTCGAGAGCGCCGTCTAGAGATCAGTAAGAGCGTAAACCTCACTGACAGGCAGGTCAAGATTTGGTTTCAAAACCGCAGAATGAAGCTCAAGAAGATGAGCAGAGAGAACCGAATCCGGGAACTGACGGCTAATCTGACCTTCTCTTAAACCCTAACCCCGGGGGGGGGCACCAGTGAGGAGTGGGCACAGCACCGCCACTTGCTAAAAGCAGGAGAGACTCTGGCAAAACCCGGCATTTTCCAGTTTTTTGTTTTGTTTTGTTTTATTTTCTGATAGAATGTGACTCTTCGTCCTCCTTTTAGCGCTGCAAGTGAATATGTATTACTATGATGAGTATATATAAAACCTAGCACGTGTAATTTATTTTTGTTCTCATCGTAATGCAGGGTAACTATTATTGAATATTATCATTTGGTCTTAACTTATTGGAACTGTCGAACATCCAAGCAATGTGACTTTTTCATGTTTTTACTAACAAAATGGTATTTATGTGGGGCTGTTACACGGACCATAACATTTTGAGTACATTCAATACTTTCAGAAAAAGAGCAGGGGGAAACTGGGGGCGGGGGGAAAGAGAAGCACATTATAATGTAACTATTCTCGCAAATGAACTTAGAGATTGTCCTTCGTAAAATGGAATATTTCCTTCTTCTCCATTGTAGACATTTCCTTGTGGTGCATATGTGGAATAGTAGTCGTTCAGAAGCAAATTGTCCTTCTTGTGCATGTTCTGTTTGCATGTATAATGCAATAAACTCTGTAAACTACTGCGGTTCCTTTGGTTTTCTACAAATGTTTAATGCAGAGATCCAGGTTGGTGTCCTGATCCTTCTCTATCAACAGCTTTTTGGACTGGTGTACCTTCTTTACCATATTCTGGTCTTTGTGTGTGTCTGCCTGGTTTTCTTTCTTTCTTTTCCTCCATTTTTCCCCCTTCCTTTTTTTTTTTAATTTTTTTTTAATTTTTTTTAGGGGAGGGGTGGAGACTGGGCCGGGAAATTATGTAAACCTAATTAATTTATAAATGTCTGTAAACAATTGATTAATTGATAAAATGTTGTGTGATGTTCGCAGTCTGACAAACTGAATGAAAAAAAAAAGAGACAGAAAGGAAAAAAATGTTGTAAAATATTGTGACTTAAACTGGGCATCCTCATCCAATCAACTCGTAAATGGTAAGTGATAAAAAAATCTTTCTACTACAAGCTGTCAGGAATATGTGTGTCATTTTATTTGACGTTCGTATGTTGATTTAAAAAAATATCAGTCACTGCGTTCTTGCAATGTGTAGACTTTGATTTCGTGTCTTTGTTCGCTAAAAAAAAATAAAAATAAAAAATCCCAAACGACCCCAAGAAACACAACAAATGCAAAGCTGGGTATAAGTAAGTGTTAGGGAGCTCAGTTTTTGGTCGGCTCAAGAGCTTTCAGAAGATGGTGGATGGAAAAATATTCCCTCAAAATGTTCCCAACATCTGGCAAGGCTGGCTTTTTTGAGCAGAAACGCTCCCTAGCCTGCTTACAAAAGTACACCAGCCTCTTCAGACCTGCTTTTGTCATCCTGCACCGTTTCTGTTTGCTCAGAGCTTGTTTTATTTCGCGCAATTCCATTTTAGTAGCACACATCCAGTTAATGACGTTCACGACTCTTAACCCTTTCTGTACATAGCTGAAAAATGTTATTAGCAGGGCTCTGCGCTGGAAGCTGAGGAAGGGCATGCGTGTGTGAGAGCGGATGAATACCCGTGTGAGCAGAAATACTAAGGAGAACAGTAAATGTCTTGCAAATGAACATGACTCCAAATTGAAGTGCAAATACTTGGACATACTTTCACCTTCAAACGGTACTGGAAAAATAGCGTGGCTACTGTTGGCACTGGGAAATCAGCTCGCTCACAATAAACGCCCATTCCTCCCCTAAGCTGTTTCTAAATCAAGAAATTAAAGGCAAGATAGTGCCAATGTTGTCCGACTTGATGACAGATCCTGCTCATAATTCTATTGGTGGCGTTCTGTTTGCTCTCTTGCCGCTGATATTAATTTAAGCCAATACTTCCTCATGCTCACTTTTATTCATAGGGCAGAAGTATATATTCCTCAAATCAAGGCATAATGATTTTGAAGCTGCGAGAGCTTCAAGCACTTAGGTATTTTGTGCTTGTTGTCCTTTCGAAAACAGCAAAGCGATGCCCAGAAAAACTCTCTATATTGCATACATTTAAACGGCCTTTTCTTTTCCTTTAAAGATACTCGCTACATCACCAAAGAAGTTTCGGCAGTGGGAAGTAAATTTCTGACTCCATACCAACTGTTTAACGTATATAAAAAAAGAGGCTCACTCTAATATTCCTACTTTACCAACTTGTATCTGTGTAAAGCGAGGGCAAGTTCTTCGCCATACCACAAACCCTGCTTCTAGAGAACAGTGTAAGACAAGTTATAAAATCGCAGAAGAAAATGCTAAAGTCAAATGACCAAAAAAAAAAAAAGGAAAGGAAAAGGAAAAGAAAAAAAAAAAAGAAGAAGAAGAAAAAAAGGAAGAAAACAACCTAAGAGAGTAATAAATCATTAAATAAACAGGAATTTCAGTCCCTTCCTCATAACGGCCCGCGAGTAGGAAGTGTTTTCCCAGCGCTGCTGTCCGTGCCCCCGGCGGGCTGTGCTGAGGGCTGTGCTGTGGGCTCGCCACTAACTCTCTACGTTTCCTCCAGATCCCGACACAGCCACCATCCCTCGCCCAGGGGAGCAGGCGTGGGCAGAAGACCATGGGTAATTCAGTTTTCTATACTAACCGGGCACCGTCTCTCTCGGGGAAGAAAAACCGGGCCGGGAGGGAGGAGTGGGAAGGGAGGGGATGGAAAAGAAAGCAAAGTGGGCAGAAAAAAATCTCACGTAGGCATTGAACGTGGCTCCTTCTGAACTAGGGGCGGAGGAGACAGCGACACAGCTCCTCTCCGCGAGCCGGAGCCTGCCCGTGGCCCCTGTCCCTGCCCGCGGCCGCCGCGCTGCCAGTGCGGGGCCAGGCGGCCTCCTCGGGACTGCCTTTGCCTGCGTCCCTCCCGGGCCGCACTGGGCACCGTAAGGGGGGCTATGTTGGAGCTGTGTAGCCCCGAAGGCCCGCAGATACAGGAGCATGTGTTCAGCCACACGTCAGTTGTGCTCGGAGACACAGGCTTTGCTGTTTCCATCCGTCCATTTTATTAGGGACACATTAATCTATAATCAAATACACCTCATAAAATTTTTATTGAAAGGCATAAAATCATTACAGAGGTCTTCCACCTGTTTTAAAACAACACAATGGGTATCTCTTTTTAAAAGTGCATCCTTTCTATGGAAACTTTCTGTCCGGGGGTGGGGGGAGCGGATAATAATACCCGCACATGCTCTGAAATATGGAAGTACCGCAATGTGCTTTTACTGTAACATTTTCCTGTTTTATGAGAAGTCGTTACAGTCCCAGCTTGCGATGGTTTGTTTTTACAGGCAAGAATCTCCCTTTCCCAGCGGGTTCCCTCAGCAGCTTGGAGTGTGATTAGCAAGCCAAGGCTGTTGGATTTATTTAAACACCCTGTCTCTCATTGATTAAGAAATGAATGGCAGAAATCACTCAAAGGAGGTGAAGAAATAGTCCGCACCCGCCACGGCCGTGGGCTGCCAGCGCGGCCACGCCCGCCGCGCCCCGGGCAGGCAGGGCAGACAGGCGGGCAGCGAAGGCGGGCAGGGCGGGCGAGCAACTAGGGCAGGCAGGCAAGCGGGCAGTGCAGGGCAGGGCGGGCAGGGCTGGCGGGCGGGCGGGCAGGGCAGGCGGGCGGGCGGGCGGGCGGCCCCGGCGCGGTGTGGGCGCGCAGGCGGTACAGCGCGCTGTGCGGGGCCGCTGTTGATGATGATTTTTTTTTTAATCACAGCAGCCCCAGTTTAGCGGATTGATTTACTCGCAGTATTGGTAAATATGATCACGTGGGCTCCGCAACCAATGGTTGAGGGTTGCAGTCTGCAAAATACTACGATTGTTCTCCGGGAGGGTATCATATACAGTTAACAGTGTAACCTTTTATATGACTAAGAGGGGAGCCTAAAATGTCGTCTAGTGGCACCATAAGTAACTATTATGTCGATTCTCTCATAGGCCATGAAAGCGAAGAAGTTTACGGGAGTAGATTCGTCCAGGGAGGTCACAGTGCGACCTCCAGGCCATCAGGTGTTGCAGAGAGTTCAGATTTTTCCTCTTGTAGCTTTGCACCAAAATCCACGGTGTTCTCCACCTCCTGGTCCGCGGTTCACCCTCAGCCGTCTGCGGCAATGACCGGGATCTACCACCCCTACATGCACCAGCCCCATTTAGGGGCAGCCGACGCTGGCCGCTACGTGCGCTCCTGGATTGAGCCCTTCCCGGGCTTCCCGGGCGGCGGCGGCGGAGGCAGCAGCAGCAGCGGCGGCTCTGCGTCCAGCTCCGGCTCCTCCAACGGGCGCCACTACGGGATAAAGCCGGAGACGGGAGCAACCACCTCCTCGTCTTCCTCCTCCTCTTCCTCCTCCTCCAAAAGGACTGAGTGCTCCTCGTCTCGGGAGTCCCAGGGGATCGGTGTGCCCGAGTACACGTGCAGCTCCTTCCTCCAGGAGCCCCGGGAGAAAGCGGCTGCCGGCAGCTCCAAGGACCCTGCCGCTTGCAGCCACAACCCCAGCCCGGGCAGCGATCTGAAGGAGGAGAAACAGCAGCAACTTGACCCAAGTAAGTAAAAAAAAAAAAAAGAAAACAGAACAAAACGGGGGGAGAGAGAGGAATAGAGGCAGAGAGAGAGGGAGAAAAAGAAGGAAAGAGAGAAGGAGAGAAAGAAAGAAATTGCCCCTTTGATTTATTGCCGAAACCTGTAAGGCTCGAATGTGCAAAACTGATAGTTTTACTAACCTATAAAAACGTCTAGACGCCTAACCCAGCGCAAGCAGCAACAAGCACCCATAAAAGACTCCACATAACCACCTACCATCAAGACATCATTTGTACAGTAAACAGACTGGGGCATTAAGGCTTTTATGATAATTCCTCCAAAGTTGTGAAAACAGTCCATCCTTCGTTAAATTAATTTAACGACCTTTCTCTCCCCCCGCCCCCCATTCTCTATATACCTCCCTTCTTCCAGATAACCCTGCAGCAAACTGGATCCATGCTCGTTCAACGAGGAAAAAGCGTTGTCCCTACACAAAGTATCAAACTCTGGAACTGGAAAAGGAATTTCTCTTTAACATGTACCTCACCCGAGACCGCCGTTACGAAGTAGCTAGGATTTTAAACCTCACAGAGAGACAGGTCAAAATCTGGTTTCAGAACAGAAGAATGAAAATGAAAAAGATGAACAAGGAGAAAGGCAATAAAGGAGACTAACGCTGGGGTAGAAATGCAGTTGGAGATTATTGATTTAGTTTTGAGTTTGGGGCTTTTTTGGGGTGAGGGTGGGTTTTTGGTTGTTGGGGGTTGTTTCGGTTTTGGATTTTTTTTTTGTTGGTTTTATTCTTCCCCTGCACCCTCAACCCCCATACATTTCTCCTCCTCCCGCACCACTCCACCCCATGGACTTTAATTCATTTTGTTTTTTTTTTTTTTTTTTTTTTTTTTTATTTGGGTAGAAGTGAAACGTGGTCTATGTCATGTATTTTGCGAAATTTTGTCTTGTTCGCCAACGTGTTTTGCAGAGTCGCTTAAACCACCCCTCTTCCTTCCCACACCGTTTAGATGACGATATTGTGAGTGCACGTTAGCTTTGGGAACTCTATCTGATGTTAAATGTTTGACATGTTTCTTAAAAGTGATGTAGACTAGATAGTTATTTTGCCAAAATAAAGGTAAGGAAATTAACTATAATTACGATAATAAAACATATATTAATTACAGCCACTTAAATCAATGGGAGTTGCTGTGCTGTCCACGATTTATTAAGAGGAAATCTTTCCCCAAACCTCTGCTTTCTAGGTCTGAATCCTTCGCAATAGATGCCACAGCGAGGCCACGAGCTGTCCCCCCCACACGCCTTTAATGCACTATTAGGAAGTTGTCTCACCCTTGGAGCCACTCACCACAGGCCTCATGCCTCCTGGTCCCCCGGCTAGTTGCCACCCCTGCCCCCGGTGACTGTTGTATTAATTAACCACTCCGTGTCTCGAACTACGGACTTGTTGTAATTGTTGTCAGTTATTACACAATAAAGTCTGCCGTGACCGAACGACAGCGCTGCAGTGAGAGGAGAAATCTGTGCGCCCCTCGCGATGCCCTCTGCGCCGCCGACCCTGACACGCAGCCCCCGCGCAGCCCCCGCAGGCCGAGCGCGTCCAGGTCGGGGCCGCGGGAAAGCCCGGCCTCCGGCAGCCACCAAGGCCGGAGGAAAGTCACTTTTCCTCCGCTTCACCTAATAGACATTTGCTGTTAGAGGTCAGTGCGGAGAGGCCGCGTAGGTGCGTCCGCCGCCGTACCGTTCCTGGGCCTCAGGTACCAGCGCTCTTTCAAACATTGGCGATCCCTTGGGATCACGTAGGAGATATTTTCCACATGCGTCCTCAGGAGCCAAGAAAGCAAAATGATGCCTATTCGCTTAAACATTATTTTTTTATTCCTTTTATTTTTCTTTGTCCCTTCCCGGTGGGTCGCTTCCAGCCTCTGTGCTCTTAAACCAGGAGGCTCGGAAGCTCCGGGGGGACACGGCTGCTGCCAAACGTTCGGCTTTGTTGGCTAGAGCTCATTTAGCAACGCGCCTCATGCCTTCTGCATTTATAAACACACATGACTTTATCAAGATAATTGAGATGAAGTTCATTGTAAAAAAATTGCTTTGTTTAAAGAGCAACCATTAAAATGAAGGACCCGTAAATATTTACGAGCAGTTCGGTTAATTCAAGATTAAGGGGACAGCTGAGAGACCTGGTGTTTAATGTTTTTTACCTCTGCAAAAAAAAAGAAGGGGGGAAAAAGGCAAAAGCAAGCACTGCCAGGAAAAGGTGTTGCATTGCTTCCCATCCATTGTCGAGAAGATACCTATAATTCTTTTAAAACAGGAAGAACCATGGTATAATAAAACCATTGAGATGGCTAGACGTCTGGACCTAATGAGTTTACGATATGCTATGGCACTTTTCTTTGAAACCACCTTATTTTGATGTTTGTGTTTGTTAGGGGGAAAAAAAGGCAAAAAATGCAGACAAACTAGGTCTTTAAACCTTGGACTATAAATTTCAATATGTCAGCGTTGGGCCAAGGCAACAGACTCAAAAAAGACCCGAAGGTCATGGAACTGAGAGATTTTACAAAGTCCACTTATTTGTTGAAATGTATTTTACTGGATATTCTACTGCAATGAATCCTACGATGCCAGCCTCTATATTTTCGAAAATACCCATAGAGGGAGGCGATCTATAACAACACGTAAACAATATTCTTCTACACAACACTCCATTATGTTGATTCCAGCAGAGTCTCTGTTAATAAATTTTCACCAAACACATACCATCTTTTTAATATTTTATATGAGGAAGATTGGCAGAATTTACCTTGTGTATTTTTTCCTTTTGTTTACCTGTTTTTAATATGGCGCACGTTTATTTCAAAATAGCAGAAAGAAAACCAAGCGTCTCTCTTGAATGACGGAATGTAGTTCTTCTATGGAAATTACTTTTACTGTCAAACTGAATAATTTAATTCCTACCCGTTGGTTGTGTTAATATATGTTTGCACATATGCACAGTCTCGTGCACACGCATTATATCGAATAATTCACAGGCATGTGTGGTGAAGGAGGGGGTGAACAAAGATTCATCTTTACTTTCGTTTACATAAATCAATCCGTAAATACATAAAAGCAAGGGAAAACAAAATAACATCTTCAAGACAAAAACGTATAACTCTGAAACTACCACACATGGAGAATTCGTGGTGTAATATGTGGGGAAACATGATCGAAAACGCGATAGCAGGCATCTTCAAAGCTCAGGCGTCCTTTCCTGGTTGCCATGTGTAAACGAGGCGCGTTCTTTGTATGCAGTTAATTATAGCTCTGACAGAAAAAAAAAAAAAAGAGGGTCACCGAAATGTGCTAAGAAAATGGTACTGTAAACGCTTAACGACAAAAAAA